GAGGACTATGTATTATTTGTAATTCTCCTTATAAGAGTTATTTGTTTCTTATTAGAGGTTAACAGTTTTATATCATGTAATAAATAGCCTAATAAATGCAAAAAAACTAGTTTTTGTCTGATATAACAATAAAAAACTATGAAATATGTTTTGCGGCTCCAGACAATTTTTTTTTGGAAAAAGGAGCAAAATGGCTCTTTTGGTCAAAAAGGTTGCAGACCCCTGATCTAATGTAACAGTAGGTTAATGAGGGTGGATCGCAAAATTCCCCTCTGGGACTAATAAAGGTATTCTGATTCATATGCAGTAAAGTGGTTTACCTGCCTTCAGTGATGAAGATGTCAAAACAAGCTTCTGGAATTTTGGTGTACTTCTTTTGGTTTCGGTATTGCACTTTGACTATCATCTTCAGCTGAAGAGAAGAGCAAGAGCCCTATATGGGTAAAATGGAGATACACAACATTTGTTATAAGTTATTAGATTTTTCACATGATGCATCACAACTTCCCCTTCTGAAGCAAGCAAATACTCAAATTGTGTAAGGGCGCCATAATATAAATTAGAACTGTCTTTAGATAAATAAATTCTACTTTATGCTCTGTTCTTTTATTTTTGTATCTTTAAGCTGAGAGGCTTCTATCTGTGCATGACATACTTTTCGGGACCAAATTAAGCACAGTGTTGGTGTGTTGCAACCCAGTCTCACGGCATTTTGTGTTATAGTCAAAAAAGTAATCTATTGATTCGTGTTCACCAACACGATTTCCCCATTTTTTTCGTGTCACACAGAACGACTTTGAAAGCAATGTAAATAATAACAAATTAGAAGGAAAAAGAGATTTTAAAAACAAATACAGATTTCAGTATTCTGACACAGACCGATTTTAGAAGCAATGCATTTGTATTGGTAATATGTTTCGTGCCTGCACCAAATAATAACAAATTACAAGGAAAAAAGATGACAAAAAATACAGATTTCAGTATTCTGAGCCTCTGAGCCATTTATTTTCCTCCGACATTATACCATCCATCCATCCATCTTCTCCCGCTTATCCGTGGTCGGGTCGCGGGGGTAGCAGTTCCAGCAGAGAGCCCCAAACTTTGTTTTCCCTGGCGACATCAACCAGCTCTGACTGGGGGATCCCAAAGCGCTCCCAGGCCAGCGAAGAGATATAATCCCTCCACCTGGTCCTAGGTCTACCCCTTGGTCTCTTCCCAGCTGGACGTGCCTGGAACACCTCCCTAGGGAGGCGCCCAGGTGGCATCCTAACTAGGTGCCCGAACCACCTCAACTGGCTCCTTTCGACGCGAAGGAGGAGTGGCTCAACTCCGAGTCCCTCCCTGATGACCGAACTTCTCACCTTATCCCTAAGGGAGACACCAGCCACCCTGCGGAGAAAACCCATCTCGGCCGCTTGTATCCGCGATCTCGTTCTTTCGGTCATGACCCATCCTTCATGACCATAGGTGAGGGTAGGAACGAAAATGGCCCGGTAGACAGAGAGCTTTGTAGATTCAAATGTTAGATTCAAATGTTATGTTATGTTATGTTAGAGTTGCATACTGATACTGACTCTTCTCGATTAATAGATTATAAACTACACCATGCTTAAATAGACTCCTAAGTTATTATTTCATATGTGACATATGTAAGAAAAGGGAGGGGAGAGTCAATTATATTGAGTAATTGATTTCATATTGGAACATTCATTTCTCAAACCTATGTTTTATGGAAGAGGAAATGTACTTCTAATAAACTAATCTTTTATCAAACGGTAAATGGTGAATTAATATAACATTTAGAATCATTGAGAAGGGGTGATATCCACAGGGACTAGCTCACATTTAACTTAAAATAACATTTCTCTGCTTTGGACTGATGAGTATATGATTCTTGCATGTTAAATGACTAACACAAACCTTATATTTATGCATGTGCATGTGTCAGGAAGGCTCCCAAATAATTCTGAGGGGCCTATCCTATTTTTGTAATTGAATGATAATGTGCTAATCCATTACCTTGAGTTGTTTGCACTCAGGAAAACATCCCTATCAAGTGTTAACCCAATAACTAGGACAGCTCTCAATGCCAAGGGTCAGAGAGAGAGAGGGTCACACTCTCTGGCTGCAGAGAGCACCCCAGCCACGGGCAAGGAGGCAGAAGGTCGTTCGAGATGAGAGGATCACACTCTCCGGCTGCAGAGAGCACCCCCAGCCACGTGCAAGGAGGCACGAGGTCGTTCGAGAGGAGAGGATTCTAATCTTCAACTTTCTGATGAGATGGGATGCTTCTTCATTTTTCTGCTCGGGGGAGCTCAAACAGACAACTCTGCAGGACGAGCGATGGCTTCAGAGGCTTCTATAAATACAAGGTTCCATGTTTCTTGGAGGAGCAGATGTTTTCATAACCTCTCCCATCACGGGGGGGGGGGGGGAAACCGGATGTGCCACTTGGAATAGGCTCTGCTCTCAAGCAGATAGCAGAAGGAATGCAGGCAGATGAGCCTCCGTTTCACTGGGGGATCATAAAGTGCTCACTGAATGATCCACAAAAGCAGAGCAATTGGGGGGGATTGAAATATGGCGCTCTGATGAAGAAGAGTTTTGAGCCAATCAGCACCTCAGTGCGAATCTACAGTATCAGGATGCCTTTACACACCAGACATTCTGTGTCATAAAGAGAGGAGGAGGACGAGTCAGGAGGACATGTTCTTCCAGCTCTTGTACAAAGATAACATTTGAATTGAATGACCAGATGTTTACAGATGCACAATTAATGATTGTTCTTATATTTCCGATGAACAGACATGTGTTAAATAGTGGTGATAAATACATTTTGTCGGATCAGATTACACTTTCACACTAAACAAATTAATTAATTGATATTTTCAGATTATAAGGTATTGAACAATAAGATATTTCTAATATTATAACATAATGTTAATATCCTTAATTGTCCAGCAATCAGGTTTAACAACACTACTCTTCAATGTATTATCCATGCACAGAAAAACCTACAATGATGTTTCAAGTTTTAAATATTTAAAACTTCCTTTCCAGGTTTTACAAAAGTCTTTGAATATTTGCTTAACTTTTCCTTTTCAGATTGTTAAACATTTTGAGAATTGTTTAGTTTTCCCTTCAGATTTTGAAATGACATAATGATTGATAGTTGAAGTAATGTAATTATGTTATCATGCCATAGTCTTTTGATTTAATATGTAATGAAGTAAACGTAAAGTAATCCTGAATTGAGGACACTGTAACTTTGCAGATTACGAATTGATCAAATCACCACTGTGAATTTTATACCTTAACTGTGATTTTATACTTCACCTGGATCTCTTATGATCCTATGTTTTAAATGCATTTGACTAGTGATTGCCTTAAACTAAATTTTCAAACTGCAAGCTGGTTTTGATTTTATAGTTTGATAAGTGAGATCAGCTAATGATTACATGTTAAAACATATTATTTTAAAGAAGATGTTTTTGCTATAATGCGTCTGTGTTTTATGTGCGTTCATTATTGTGCTTTTGACAACAGATGATCCAAACATTGATGAGAGATGATCAATGTCAATCATTGTGGTTGAATGTTTCAGTCTTATTCTACTTTGTGATGTAAATTGATGTACGGTGGGACCACACTCAACTCTGAAGACGCCTATTGATTTAAGTATTGACCAAATTATTATTAGACTAATGTTTTCAGGTTATCAAAGATGATAAAAAGAGAGGAACTGTGAGGGATTAATTTAGTCTTTACTTAAGATATTTGACCTTTCGGCCTGTTGACGTTTTACGACGAAGCCGAAGTCTGTTATCTGTCTTAAGGAATGGGAACTGTCAGCTATTGCTGACATTATGAGTTTTATGACCGTTCAACTCTCGGTCACAAGAGCCATAAAGTTAAATAAGTAATTCAGTACCTCCAGGTGGTGACGTACACCTTCCCCCCAATATGTGAGTTGACTGAGTGAAGCTAATTAAAGGTCTGCCAAGATGAGAAGGGATTCAGAATTGACATGGCAACCCACCGGTGCAGTCAGAACTTTCTGATGCTGTGACTTGTGATATGAATTCTCCGGCCGATGCTTGTAATAAACTGCCAGTGTTTGACATCAGAACTCCTGCTCGTCCCGTGTCTCTCTGAGTCCTGACTCTCCATTGCTACAGAAGTTTCCCTTACACTAGCTACTCAGTAATACATAAAATAAGTGAAATAATATCACTTAAAAGTACAGCTTGTGTCACAAACAGCTAAGTACATTTGTCAATAAAAAGTCATAGTTTAGAATGTCACACTATATATTATTTCAAGTATAGTATGTCATAAAAAAAATCATATTATATTTATTTTGAAGCCCAAATCAATTCCCAATTAATGTCCACAAATTGGTAGTTCAACAGTGTTTCCTACGAGTAGTTGCAGTTGTTATTACATATAGGCTACTATCATTTAAGTTGATGCTATTTAACTGAACATCGGTCAAAAACCTTGCTTCCCTGCAGGAGCTATATTTGATATTATGCTATATTCTTGTGCAGGTATTGGAATACTTCTTTAAATAAATCATTGTATGAGAGAAAGACCTGCCACAATAGTACTTGTTATATCAGCTAAATATGGTGTTGTGCCCATTTGTCATAGAACATTTACTTATATATTATACTTTATAATATCAAAGAGAGCCTGCCTGTGAACATTAGATAACTGAAGGTAGAGTTTACTTACATAAAATGGGATTACACATCAGTGGGCCTGCCTTGGTCCTGAAGTAGTGCATCGTTTGTCCACACGATGTCCTCATTGGTTCTCCCCTTCCACATCATATTATTTACAGAAATGGACAATACTAGTTTACAGCTCGGTAAAAACGGCTCCTCACATCGTCTAATATATTTAGTTGTTCCCCTTACTTCCTGGACAGACTGCTCTCCAAATGCTCAGCAGCTATTCAAACAGAGGGGGAGAAAGGAGCCAAAATGGCGCTTACTCCAGTCTCTAATAAACATCTCTAATCAATCCAATCCAGGTGTTGTTAATTAACGCTGAGGCAGTGACCGGTTTATGTCTGTATGTGACAGCAGGATCACTCAAGAGAACAGTAAGTCTGAATCTGTTCTCTGTAACCCCATTCTTTGTCACAGTGTATTTTACTGCGTGTTATTTTGTCATACACATGCTAGTGCACACATTTAATAAAGACCAGTGCATTCATGTCAGGCTACAAATGTATGCTATGGAGGTGGAAGGTGACCAGTTTCTCCTATTTCCTGTTTAAGTGGTTGTATAATCTTAATTTAGTTGTGTAAGAAGAAGTGATAACACTGTAACTACACCCATTCTCTCTATAACCGGATACACACACCAATGTGCAAGATAGCGCATGAACGATGACCTCATTTGGGAAATTTCCAAGAGATTACATTAGCCTATGTCACATATTCTCCGTGACCTATGACATACAAAGGGTGAAAATTGTTCTCAAAGTGATTTAAGAAATGTAAGTTTGAGTAGGTATATATTACAAAAACTATCAGTGTTCCCCTTTGAAATAATGTGAATTTAAACATGCTTTAGTATCGCAAATACATGTATTTTAGCATTATGAATGGATTTACAATGAGCTTTTTCTTGTATTTGCGACCATTTATAGTTTTACCATACAACTAATGATAAAGAAATAAAAGACCCATTCAAATCAGATTTATTGGAACATATAGTTGGAAACGAACATTTTGCCCACAACGTCCTAATGTAAAAAATCTGCTCACCTCAAGAGCCACTAAACAAACATGACCTCTACCCTGAGTGACTTTTAATGTAATAGAAATGAGTTCAAGTGATAACGGTTATTGTAAGAGGATCAATTAATGTAACTGTTTCTTAATATAACAAACTGGAATCCAAGTTTTTTATAGGGTAAGATCAGTGGGAGTGTTCATGGAGAATTACTCAATAAAGCTTGCGACAGTCAATAGCACAAAGTTCAGTGACCAAGTGGAGCAAGAAAGAGGAACAAGAGAAGAGTGTTGGAGAGGTTTGTTGGAGTAAGCAGCACATCAGGATCGACCGCTATAAGGATTATACTCAAACACGGTCAGGTCATTTCTATAATAAAGAGATTATTTGTTATATGTTGTGGATTTTGTTTCTTTTAAGCAGATCATTACTGTGTGTACAACGTGAGTTATATAAAATGTAAACTTGAGTTTGTCATCTGTTAAATTGACAACATCTATTTTGATAATTTTTAAATCTCTGGTTCTCAAATGTTAACATATGTTGTCTTTACTCCTCGTTGAAAGTCAAATGAATATATCTATTTATAGACTAACCATTTTAAACATGTCATCTTGCCTTTTTAGAAAACACTGATAATTTTTACACATTTTCTGAATTATTTTCTTGATAAATTGAAAACATAATCCACATAAATTAATCTTGCTGCCCTTATATTGACATGGAGACTTAGGCAATACATTATTCATCCTGTACCAGAATTTACTTGATATGCTTGTTTATATTCTCAAACTGCAGTTGACATTTTAAGCCACTACTAGCTCCCTCTGTGAAGCCTGTTAGTAATGTTGATCGTGATGATGTGAACCTGCAGTTAAAGTCTAAAACCTGATGCTACTGTACCTCCAATCACAGGTGGAGGTGATCTCAGATGGATTACGCCATGAAGATGCTCACCCTGCCGACTCCATCTTCCCTCTCCAGGTAAGAGCCCTACTTCATGACGAGGATAGGATAGTAAACAATCGCCAGTTAATAGTTAATAATAAGGTTTTGTCTTTATTTTTTTCAGTTCTGTGACAGCCGGCCTCTCAGCTGGAGCCTCCATGACTCAGCAGCTCCTGACGGGTCGAGCTCCCCGGCCAAAGCCCTTCAGGGTCTCAAATGCCGACCGCAGCATGAAGAAGGGCATCATGGCCGACACGCTAGAAGGCCTGATTAACAAGGTAAGGGAATTTTGATATTATAGCGTGGATGTATTCTATATACATATTTAGGAGATGCTCCACTCTATCGTTTTAGGAAAAGTGGTGGCCTCTGTGTTAAGCAGCAGATTAAAAAAAGCCAAACTAGTTGAAGGAAAGGGCTTACATGTAAGACAAATGTGTAACATATAAGGTCAAAGTCTAACATGTTTATGACAAAACCTGACTAGTGAGAATAAATGCCCTCCACTAGTTAACTAGTAAGAAAAACATCTGTGTCACTAGTTCACTAGTGACTCCTCTAAGGCTTCACTAGTTAACTAGTGAGATAAAGTGTGTGTAACTAGTTAACTAGTAAGGTAAAAACAATTGTACTAGTGCATCTAGTGGACAATTTGGACCTCACTAGTTAACTAGTGCACATTTTGAGCCTCACTAGTCAGCTTAGAAGACCAACACAGGCTTCAACTAGTTCACTAGTGAAAATGTTGCCTTCACTAGTTAACATGTAAGCTGCAATATGTATCCACTAGTTAACTAGTTGCCGTTCATATGGCCAACACGTTAACTAGTCAGCCATATGCAAATGAAGCAGGCGGGACCAGATTTTGATTGGTCAGTTCAGCTCTGTGAGGGAGAGCCTGAGGGGGCGTTCTTCTGCGATGTTTTTAGTAACGTCTTGAAGACGTGAGGTGCATCAGTCGGGTATTTAGTGCCTACTGTTAACATATTGTCCGTGGGAAGTCAGTCAGTGTGTTTTGCCTAGAGAAATACATGTTTCTGCTTCTGCTTTGCTCCGCTTTGTGTGTGTTTGTTTTTGTTGGTGCGAGTGTGCGTATGCTTGTGTGTGAGAACACCGGCACTCGAGACACAAAAGTAGAGGAAGTGATCGTGGGACATTTTATCAGCGGTGCTCATGAAATGAATAAAGCTGAAACACTGGACAGATCTTAAAATCAGGGTAACGATAGATCCGTATGAAGATAAACAACCTCTCCATATTTGCCAAGACTAATATTTACGGAAGTCACGGCGATCTCTCAAAGCTGTGATCCGAAGAGGGTTACTTCCTCTTTCAATCCATCAATAATGTCACTCTGTTATCACAATGATATTCTAATTCTAATGGCAACTTTCTAATTTTAAGAAAGTCTTCAATGTTCTTACCTAATTTGATATAGCCTACAGTCATATGATCATAATAACAAAATACTTTTGTTTTATATTTTTGTAAATATGGTCATATTTTAAAACACAGTGTATTTAAGCTCTTAAATAAACTATTTGGGCTGGGTGGCGCTCTATAGCTTAGGGCCAATAGGAGACCTTGATGCGTTATTTCCCCTCCTCCTCATTAGCATTCTGTGCAACTAGTGTGACTAGTGCACATTTGGGATCCACTAGTGCTACTAGTGAACTATTTAAGCCTCACTAGTTCACTAGTGGAATTTAAACTTCTCTCACTAGTTAACTAGTAAAAGGCAACGGGTTCACTAGTTAACGTGTAGACATTTTGAGCCCCACTAGTTAACTAGTAAGGTCAAAAGAGGCGTTAACTAGTGAACTTTTTGCCTTTACTAGTTAACTAGTGAGTGATTCTGGGTGCGACTAGTTAACTAGTGCGCTGCAAAATCTCTGACATGTTAACTAGTTGTGCTTCTTTTGTGTGACTAGTTAACATGTCAGAGATTTTGCAGCGCACTAGTTAACTTGTAAGACTTTTAGGGTCACTAGTACGGTCAGAGGGCCACTAGTTCATCAAAAAGCTTACACGTTGGGACTTTGGCGTTACTAGTGCTGCTCCTGGCGTCACTAGTAAGGCATACGTGGTAACTAGTCGGACAAAAGTGCCACGAGTTGCTGAAAAAGAGCGACTAGTGAAATATTTTATTTAACTAGTAAAGCAGAGTGCCTAACTAGTTTGACCATATATCTAACAAGTGAAATCAAAGAGCCAACTAGTGTAGGCCGCTGCCGTCTGATATCAAGGAAATTGAATAAATACTCAAATGGCTTGCCATAGACGGCAGTTAGCAGCTAGCGGCTAGCTAGTAATGATGCTAATGTACATCAATCGTTATGTACTTATATTACGCTGTAACAGGATCTAGTGATATCCAACAGAGCTTCATTTAGCATGAAATAATTATTGCACTGTATATATATATATATATATATATATATATATATATATATATATATATATATATATATATATATATATATATACAGTGCAATAAGCTTCTTAGTGCAATACGAAGCTACAGGGACGTTAATAATGTCGGTAATATTAACTTTATTTAATACAACATTTACGGTACAAGATGTAATCATTCAGCCCATGTAGTATGATAATGAATTACAGCAAACATGTGCAATATATCCATTATTACAGCTCCGTGGGATGGCAGTAAGACGATATGGATCCGTTCTTATCCATGGGTAAAGATAAACGCAACTCACATTGGTTTCTCATACAGCATCTCTGTAAACTAGGCTACGTGTATTCACTGAATTTCACTCTGCCTTTACCGGCTCGTTGTAGCTCCAATAGCTCCAGCCCCACCCTCCCTGTGAGCACAGTGTGCTCTGATTGGTCGGGACACGTAACATGAACCAGAGCCCTAGAGAGATATCTCTCTAGGGCTCTGACATGAACGTGCCGGGCGGCGCGGTCCCGTGGGTTAGATGCGCGTTCATAATGCAGAGGGAAATAACTCTCAGAATAACGTTATTAGCACATTTTTACAACTTGAGGAACGAATGTTTTTAATAAGGGCTATACAAGTGTTCATACTGGGTAGTTTATTTAGTTTAAAAAAAATTATCCAACGAGTTACAGACCACTCTTTCCCCATGTAAGTCAATGGGAAGAAGTGTTTCCGGGCCTGGCAACCAAACGGAAGTGTAGTACCACCGTTTGGCCAGCACGAATATTTTCATCTGAGTCCGGCGCACTTCCTGGGGGCTTGATCCATCCACTCTGTCTGCCGTCGTGTCGCACATCTGACGCGTCATCAGAGCCCGTTCATGGCGGGGTCAAATCGCGCCAGACCGCTGCATGAATACACGGAGAGCATCGCGAGACCGCCACACACGAAGGAGTCTAGAAAACGTGGAGTGGATTACAGCCTACTCTGGCCCCTACAGAGATTCACCACATCTTCCAAAGCCAAAATAGAACTTCTGAATACACAATCCCTCAGTAATAAAGCATTCTTCATTCATGACCACATCACCGATGAGAAAATGGACTTCATGTGCCTCACAGAAACCTGGCATCAGCCAGAGGTTTACTCCACCCTCAATGAAGCTTGCCCTCCTGGCTACAGCTACTTGGAGAAAGCCCGCAGCACTGGTCGTGGTGGAGGCCTAGCTGTCATCTACCGAAAGGAATTGGAACTGTCACTCCTGCCCCTGCCTGTATTGTCCTCTTTTGAATGCCTTGCATTTAAATGTAAACCCCCCTTCGCCCTGACAATACTTCTGATCTACCAGCCACCCAAACCCAACTCAGCTTTCATCCCAGAGATACAAGACCTTCTCACTACGCTATGCACAACCTCTGCCAATATTATCATACTTGGAGATTTTAATATTCACGTCGACTCCCCCTCCTGCCACTTTGGCACTGAGTTTCTGCTACTTCTGGACTGCCTCAATCTGACACAGCATGTTAATGTCCCCAGACACGCCAAGGGCCACACGTTCGACCTGGTCATCACAAACTCCGCCCCCATCAGCAATCTGCTAGTGTATGACTTGGGGGTGTCTGACCACAAGACCATCTCTATGGAGCTCTCTTTCCAATCCCCACTCAGCATGCCCAAACGCCAAATCCGCTTCAGGAACCTGAGGAACAACTTCTCATCAGTAAATGAGTCAGTTGCATATTACAACCAGTCCCTTAACAGTCTCCTTGATCTGCACGCCCCCCTCAAAACCAGGATGGTCACCTTCTCGCGCTCAGCCCCATGGTACACCGGCGAACTGCGGAGAATGAAGACAGCTGGGCGTGTCCTTGAGCAGCGGCTCAAGGCCTCAGGACTCACTGTTCACCGGTTAGCCACCAGAAGGCCTACGCACAGTCCCTCAGAGATGCACGGTCCCAGTACTACTCCTCCCTCATCAACAGTACTGGAAACTCCAAGCAACTCTTCTCCACCATAAACCACCTCCTCAAACCCCAAAGTCCTCTACACTCCGACTCCACTGAGAAGCAGTGTAGCAACTTTGCCGCCTTCTTCACTAACAAAGTTGATACTATCCGCTCCCTCCTCTCTAGCCCCTCTGCACCTCCAGTTACAACTGCTGACCCACAGCCTGGGACAACACAGCCTCTTCGCTGTTTCACGGACATCTCTCAGCGAGAGGTTGAGGGCATCGTTAGGAGGATGAAGCCCTCCACCTGTGTCCTGGACCCCCTTCCGTCCGCTCTTGTAAAATCGTACATCTGTACCATGAGCCCCATGATCACTAAGATCGTAAACCTCTCACTCCAGGCTGGCCATGTCCCCTCTGCCCTAAAAACCGCTGTCATCAAACCTCGTCTCAAAAAACCCTCCCTTGACCCAGGAGTCCTGGCCAACTACAGACCCATTTCCAACCTTCCTTTTCTATCAAAGGTGCTGGAAAAACTAGTTGCTGCTCAGCTCCAGGACCACCTAAACTCCAACAACTTATTTGAGAAGTTCCAGTCTGTTTTCCGCTCAGGCCACAGCACAGAAACTGCCCTGGTCAGGGTCATCAACGACCTGCTGATGACGGCTGATGCTGGCTCTCCCTCTCTCCTCATCCTCCTCGATCTCACTGCAGCTTTCGACACCGTCGATCACGGCATCCTCCTCCATCGTCTGCACTCCACCATCGGACTCTCTGACTCTCCCCTTGACTGGTTCAGATCATACCTCACCGGGAGAACAGAGTACGTCTCCTTGGGCGAGGCAGAGTCGGGTACCCACAACGTCACCAGTGGTGTCCCTCAAGGATCAGTTCTCGGCCCCACCCTCTTCACACTCTACATGCTCCCCCTTGGCTCTATCATCAGCCGACATGGAGTATCATTCCATTGCTACGCTGATGACACCCAACTGTACCTCAGGATCAACCCTACCTCCTCTGCAGCCCTGCCTTCACCCACACTCACTGCCTGCCTGGAGGAGATACAGGCGTGGATGAAGCAAAACTTCCTGAAACTCAACAGCTCCAAGACCGAAGCCATTATAGTTGGCACCCCACACCAGGTTCGGTCATCCACCATCACCACCATCACCTTCTCCGGCCAGGACATTACCCTCTCCTCAATAGTCACCAACCTGGGTGTTAAAATGGACGCCCATCTGACCTTTGAGGCCCACATTAAACAGCTGTGCAAGAACTCCTTTTATCACCTCAGGAACATCGCCAAACTCCGCCCCACACTCACTCTGTCTGACGCCGAAAAGCTGGTCCACGCCTTTGTCTCCTCCAGGCTGGACTACTGCAATGCACTCCTCATCGGGATCCCTAACAAAAGCATCCAGAAGCTCCAATACATTCAGAACAGCGCTGCTAGGATCCTGATGAGGGTGCGCAAATATGATCACATCACCCCCATCCTTAAAGCACTACACTGGCTACCCATGGAACTGAGGATCGAATTCAAGGTCTCCGTCCTCACCCACCAGTGTGTCCATGGAACTGCCCCTCCCTACCTCAAGGAACTCCTCACCCCCCATACCTCCTTGCGGACCACCCGCTCCAGCAACTCCAACTTCCTCAAACCCCCCAGGACTAAGCTCCGTACTATGGGAGACCGGGCCTTCTGCTCGGCTGCTCCCAGTCTGTGGAATGCTCTCCCCGACCAAATGAGAGCACCACAGACCGTGGAGGCTTTTAAAAAAGGCCTCAAAACCCATCTCTTCAAAAGAGCCTTTGCCTAGACCTTTTTATCACCCTTTTATTTTTTTATTTTTTTTTATTGCTTTTTATTAATTCTACCGTGTTGTGTAATGTTTATTTATACTGTTCATGCTCACTACTTGTAGCACTTCGGGATTTGAAATCAAATATGAAGTGCTTTATAAATGGAACCCATTATTATTATTATTATTACATGGTTCTCAGAGGGCAGCAACACTATGAATATAGATGAAGTTATACAATATGAATAATTGCTGAAGATTAAACTACCCAACAGCATGTCAAAATATTTTAAAACACCCACAGTTTCAAGTAATCCAAAACCATCACATAAAACCCTGACAGGGAATATCTTACTGCGCAGATCATATGTTAAAAACTCCTGCCTATGTAAAGTGTAATGCAGGACTTGTAGTAGAGTATTTTCATAGTGTAGTATTAGTATTTTCCTTTTAGCAAAGATTCTAAATACTTCTTCCACCTCTGCTCAGGTCAGCGACTCGTTGAATGTAGCGTGTGTCGGCGCCCTGGTGCTGGATGAAGACGGCACAGGGGTGGACACAGAGGAGTACTTCCAGACGCTGCCTGAAAACGCCGTCCTCATGGTGCTGGAGAAGGAATGCAAGTGGACCCCACCTCCGGTATGATGGTGTTTCACATCTTTCACATCCCACCACTGGGGGACACTGTGGATCAGCTGCTCAGTGTTATGCTCCACAAATTTATTTCCATCTTTTGTGCAGTGCTGGTTATGTCAGGGATTCATTGATGTAGTGATCGAAATAAATATATTTTATGCAGCTAACATGAATATGGAAAGCACAAAACGTCTGTAGACTAGAGAATAACACGTTGAATAATAAATTAAATCAGCAAATATTGTCCCCTTCCGACTGAATAGGGGAGTAATACGTCAGTTATTGTGCACAGGGCGAACACATTCGTTTTTTCCATTCATTATTTTGAGGAAAATTAAAAGCTAAGGTCGAATATTAATCAGATGTCATCAAATTTAAATTGTGTGTACGGACAATACATTAATTTCCGACTAAATGCAGTGATTTGCATCCCCCGCTACCTGTTTATTCCGGTCACCTCACATTGACCTTGCTTCATTGTCATTTTCCTATCCCATCATCATCGGCAGGAGCTGCTTCAGTCGGCTGTGTCTGAAATAACGTCAACAAAACGTATCTGTTCCCTATTGACCCGTCCCTGTCGCCCTGCAGAACAGCCCCTCCAAAGACCAGCTGAGTGAGCTCAGGCCACAGCAGCGGAGAGATGTGGTCAAGTTGACTTTTGACCTCTACAAAAACAACCCCAAGGATTTCATCGGCTGCCTGAATGTGAAAGCAACCATGTACGGTGTTTATTCTCTGTCCTACGACCTTCACTGTCACAATGCCAAACACATGCTGAAGTGAGTGAAACAGTCATCCAAATATCTCTGCTTTTTGTGATGAGTTGTTATATAATTGTTTGTTTTTCTTCAAAGCATATCTATGTTTCACTGAACTGCTATTTGGATCACTAGCAATAGTTTAATCATGTTAGGGGGGGATAATGTATTCATTTTAATGAGGTGATAATCCATAAAATACCAAGCAGATTATCACATTTGCAATGCCCATATATAACCCATTGTTTTCCTGCTTAATTTGACGCTTTGTATCAGCATCCTTTCTGACATATTACCACCAGTTGCAGTGCTCTGTACACAGCCACTAACGTCAAGTCTAAATTCATATTTTAATGTGTATACCTGCGTGGGTGGCGGGGTTGAAAAGATCAGATTGCTGAAGAACAAAGGCTTTACCGAGATTAATTTAGGGAGGAGTTATGTCATCGTTGCTGAGATGTGCTGGTTTTCAGTTTTGGCACGGAGCTTCCTGTCGGAGAGGATTACATTTTGCAGACATGGCAAACATTGGGCTTTTGTGCTCACATTGCAGTATAAGGGTTTTGTTTTTTTAGATGATTGTTTCATTAGATTGTGTCCAAAAGAGATCGTCTCAGTTTGTGCGTATTTCCTGTCAGTCGTTCTCTCGCCAGGTTATGTGGCCCATTACTCAACCCATGCCCACTCTCTGTTTCTGTGTCTGTGCTTCCAGGGAGGTTCTGCGATGGGCCATCTTCACCATGCAGGCCACGGGACACATCCTGCTGGGCTCCTCCGGCTACATCGAGCAGCAGCTGCTGGAGGAGGACGAGCGGGCGGAGAGGAGGCTGGAGCTGCCGCAGGAGAGCCGGATCGAGCTGCCGCAGGAGAGCCGGATCGAGCTGCCGCAGGAGAGCCGGATCGAGCTGCCGCAGGAGAGCCGGATCGAGCTGCCGCAGGAGAGCCGGATCAGGCAGCTGCAGAGCATGCTGCTGGCGAGGATCACACACTGATGAAGAACTGAAGCTGACAATGGTCCACTATGAGACGTAGGACACCATGTAGATGGTCACAGATGGGGATCTCTACATGTTCATGTCCCAGTTTGCGGACATTGCATCAGTCTCACTGTCACTTTCTTACTCTGTTACATTTTTCTGCACTTTATGTACACGCTCATACCACATTTTATTTTACAGAAAGCACGTTTACTCACTTATGTAGCTTTTTCCTTGGGTAATGAATAAATAAAAGTACAACTGTTTTTAAAAGGACATATTCTGCTCTTTTTCAGGTTCATATTTGTGTTTTGTGCCTCTGTGACATGTTTACATGCTAGGTTCAATTCTCACAAAATACAACATCCCCTTCCATTGTTACGCTGATGATGTACAGATCTATCTGCCTCTCAATTCAAATGTCAACTCACTACAGCAGTTGATGGACTGCTTGACAGAGATAAAATCCTGGCTGAGCCAACATATCCTCAACCTCAATGAGAGCAAGACCGAGGTCATCTTTTTTGGACCCAAACCTCCAGCCTCTCCGGTTGATATTCTGGGCTCCCTCAATAAAAACATCCTCCCCTCTGTTATGAACCTTGGAGTGATCTTCAATAGAGCTTTTCAATTTGATAAGCAGGTCAGCACCGTAGTCAAGACCTGCTTTTTTAAAATACGACTATTGGCCAAGACCAAGTCGTTTTTATCTTTTAAAGACCTAGAAATGGTTATTAACGCCTTTGTTACCACGAGACTGGATTATTGCAACGCTCTGTATGTGGGTATGGACCAGGCGTCAATTAGACGCCTCCAGCTAGTCCAGAACGCAGCTGCACGTCTTCTCACTGGCCACAAAAAGCGTCACCACTGGCTTCCAGTTCGGCTCAGAATTGATTTTAAACTTATTTTATCTGTTTTCAAAGCCCTAAATGGGCTGGCTCCGGCTTATATAGCAGAACTCCTCCATCGCTACACCCCAGCCAGAGCTTTAAGAAGAAATCCAAGGAGTCCAATGGAGGTGTTTCAGGCAGGAGGTATTGGAGAGAAAACTTCCTTTTGAGGGAACTTTGGGATTTTAGCCTTTGCAGACCATTAACATACACACAATCCTATAAAACACACCTCTTTAAACTTCCCCTTGCAGAATGCCCATTTAAATATACATACAGTAGGTCTACAAATGGGCCTATAGTGTATGTGCAGAGTTAGCCCATTAGCTGGCTTTGTGTGTGTGACTCCTGTTTGAAGTCTGTGTAATTGGCAACAGGTCCAGCTGTCCCTCCCACGTTCCCCTAATTGTCCCCCGGCCTGCACCGTCCTGTCAGCTGCAGCCTGCCTCAGAAAAGCAGAGGAAGAGAAACCAGCTGCAGGGGGCGAGGGACGGAAACAAGCCATTATACCCAGAGAAAAGAGAGATGATGGCTTCAGCTGGTGGCAGATCGTTCCCTTTTGCTATCTGGATGTGAACGGTGGCAGCTTTGGACGGGTTTTGAACTGAATTGGCTGTCTGATAATACCTGAAGATACATGTCTGAGGTTAATATTCAGCAGGTCAACAGATAGAGTGTGAATGTGGGCTACAAACCATGGTGTTATATTTATTTTGTCTCTTTCTTTTCTATAATATAACCGGAATAAATATAAATCTGGCCACAGTTTCTGATTAAGTTCATGTTAATGTGCAATGCAAACAATAGTTGGTTTGTTTACAGATGTATTGTAGGACGTGGATGTTTGTTTGAATGTAATGATGCATGGGAATAACACATTCCACCATTATATTGTTTTGTATTGGTACTGCACCCCTTATGTCATGAATGCATAAACACTATCATTGCAAACCCAACGTGATGTTGCTCGTGGTTTGCACTGGAATGAGTCATGAGGTGCATGCTGTCTGACAGATCTCGTGCTTTGATCTACATGTGTTGTGCTTCACAGTATCCCCCCACACAGATCAAATGCTAAGTATGAGCTTTACTGTAAATTCTGAAGTCACAGCGTCTGATCCTAAAGGAAACAAAAGGGTCCACACCACCAGCAAATGAAACAGAAGATGAATTCTGCCATTAAAAGAAATGGATGTTGTATTCCTGGAGACACTTAGCAGGAACTTAAGACAAAGCATCAAAATGAAGTTAGAGCTCTAAGATGGCTGTTCCGACTACAATGACTGGAAGTAGGGGGGTTGGAAGTGGCTCCCTGCATTGATGGTCCTGGTATGTTCTTTGGTGTGTGATCCCATCACATGATCTGCAGTTATCCTTTGTATAGTGCTCCACTGACTTCAGTTTGACCATGAACAATAAAAACAATAGAAAAAAGGGGATCAGAAACATTTTTGCACCATAGTTTCCTTTTTATTAATTTTTAAATGTATTTCAAGAATTCTTCCTTGTCAGAACCTGGTGCCTACGATACCCATAAAGCAACTCGCCCACCTTCAGACAGTAGGATGTATTATGCTAATGTGGCTCAAGCATAAATCATATATACATAAAGTTGTAATCTCACTTATAAACCCCCCCATTCCTAGATTATTTAAATCCCACACTTGCAGTCTTCAAACCCAAACCATTAAACCTCTAGTCTTCATCCCCAATCCAGGTGACTCCAATGTTGTCACTTGGGGTAATGCATCTCTTTTTTGTGCAGCTCTCTGTGCAAAGCTCCACATTTTTTCCACATGCATTTAACAATATTAATATTTAGCCCAGAAAATGTTCAGGGTGGGGGTTTTAAAGTTCAAAGACCAACCAAGACCTGATGTGATAAACTCGTTCCAGATTCCTCCTCCTCCTCCAGTCGGTCAGTGATCATCCACACAGGGTCCTGAGCTCCTCCTGTAGTGGCCCTTCCCACTGAGCAGCTGTGTTTGTGGCCCCCTGCTGGCCCTTGCTGGATCTGCTGGAGCTGCTGGATGTGATGTTGAGCGCGTGCTCGGCTGCTGCACATCCACAGGACAGAAGAGACGCTGCGGACATGGATCACTGAGCGCACGACTCCGAAACAAGAGGTAAGAGAGCACTTTTACTAAAGCAATTTCATGTGTTTTTATTTTATTCTGCAATATGTCTGTTTTTGTGTGTGCAGCAGATTGTCTGATAAAGACATTCTAGCGATTCGTATGCAACCCTTATCCAGTCAAATAACTTACATTGCCAAATAAATAATGTATGATTGAAACATTTGACTCAATAAAAGCATGCAATAACTTTTAGCGTATGTTGCAATTTTACGCACGTAATTTTTGTATCCAATTAAGCCATCACTTATCGTGCACATATCTTAATAAAACCACTTGTTAGCGCCATTGTCTCAAACTTTCTGTGTTGACTTATTGCGGAGATGGACTTAACCTCGCTCTGTGTGCTGTTTGGCACCCTGAGCTCCACGAAATATCGATTTGGCATAGTAATCTGTGTTTTATTAGAAACCACGGGCTGTAGTGGGAGTATAGTTGCTTGACACTTACGGGCTCTGAGGCTGTATTTCTCCCACGCTCCTGGGGGAGTCTTCACCGCAGAAGCATCTCCCCATCCTGCTCACTGTGGGCTTCATCAAAGCTGCTGTTGTGTGTGCCCACAGCCTGGGGGCCAAACATGCCTTAAAATATCCGATAAATGCCTTAAAACCTCTCGTAGTCTTTTATCACTGTCCGACCAGGTCTGTTAGATGCTGAGTTAAACCCCCCTGGCGAGAAATCACCTCAATACAAAATACAGATGTATTGTAATCATTATCATGGCCAAAATAATTGCAATTCAACATACTATCCCTATAATCATTATATAATACTTAGTTGGCAATAAAACATAATCCATATTGATTTAAGCAAACATTTTATAATGAATCACAGATATTACATCTATTAAATGAACATCCTTTTTGTTGTGAAAAACTGTTTTAAATAAGATAACTATCAAAAAGCTCCCCTGCATCAATAAAGGATGAATGATATTGCAATATTCAAGATTATATGGTGATGACATTTTGCCACAATGAACGCATTGTGAGTGTTTTTAGGGCAATTTGCCATCCATAATCGGGTTTCAGTTTTTGTGACTTACCAGCTTGATTAGCAATGCCCTTGTTGTCTCCTGTGGTTGTTATTTTTACAACTTGTTTGGCTTTTGAATGTCGGTCGGCAAAAACAGATAATAGCAAAAGCCATTTATCGTCATCTCCTTTGATCTTTAGCAATGGTGAACATTTTGGACTAGAGCATTTTTCACACCAAATCAATAACATGTATTACATCCACAATGAATCATAACTCATGCATAGTTTTTAATTGGTTGCATTTGTTGTTTGTCAGTCAAGTAAAGCAAACAGTATTCTGAGAATCAAACAACTCAGACTTATTCTCTCATATTGTCCACATGCTGGATCATGACTTTCTCTCTCAGCTGTTTGTCACAAACAACAGTGTAAACGACAAAGAACAAACCAAAGAGAGATGTATAGAAGACGGACAGATAATGACTATAAAAGTTAAACTAAATGCAGTAAGACACAGCAGGCGTGACGAGGAGTATAACGGAGAAGGGAGGGGCTGGGTGCAACAGTGTGGAGGTGGAAGAAAGCAAAGAGAAAGAGACATCTTGATGAAAGCATTTGGGCCTGAGCTGCGTCTCTCCGCCACGCCGTCCCCGTGTTCTGCCGCCGACACTTTGATTGGGAACATGAAGGAGGTAAACCAAATCCTGCTGAAGACATTCTGCCTTTGTATTAACACATCATCATCCCTTCTCTGTCACCAGCTCACACACATGGATACATCATCTTCTAATTGCCTCCTTCTACTGTTAACCTCATCATCTTTCACCAAGTGGTCTTCTGTTCAGCATCTGTCATCCGTCTGTTAACACACACCTTTATCTTCTCTCTATTTCTTCTTTTTCCAACCACTCTTCCTTTGTTTGCTGCTTCTTCCCCAAGCTTATGTTTTTCAATGGCTGGCTATATCAGGGCCATATTTCAGCTCAGTGATAAATAATTCAGGGAACAGGACAACAGGAAGGTCCTCAGTGAGAGCCGATTCTTTGCTCAAACCTGAATTGCCTGTCGTTTGGACAGTCACCTGAATAATGGATTTTAGTCTGGTCAGTGGCTGAAATGGCAACTGTGCATTCACTCTTAGTTCTCCTCAGCAGTTGCTTTAAGAGGCACTTTAAATACTTAAAGGTGGGGTAGGTAATTCACTTCAATATATTAAATGCTTTGATAATAAATACATTAAAACATTTCATCTCTGGAAGCCGTGGCGCTGT